ATCACGACGCCGCGACACCCTCGCCCAGAGTCGGACGTCCCACAGGCCACGTGAAGTACCGAGCCGCGGGCGGCGACGAGGCGACGTCCATGCGCGTGGATACCGCCAACCCTGTCGTCGTGGCCGACGGCGTTGCGGCGACTGGCGTCGGTCTGGCTGCCGGAAGTGGAGCCGGCCTTGGCGGTATCCACTTGCCCTACCGGCCCGACAACTTGGACGCAGGTAATTGTGTATGCCTCATTTCTGACGTAGCCCCACGACATGGTGAGCCTGGAGCCGGTGGCTCAGTTCTCGTCCCGCACCAGTCTCAGAGACTTTGCAAGTCTGCCCAGAGCTTGGGGCATTAAGGCCGGATTGGGCAAGCAGACGTTTTTTTAGACGTCCACCCCTCCCTTGTGCCCACCCTGTGTAACCACGACGTCTTCGGGTTTCACTACTTTTCACAAAACAGGCTGGGGCCAGTTGTTAGTCCCACAACACCGAAGGGACATGTCTGCCTTTCGGCAGAGGACGATAGCTTGCGACCAGACAACTGGCTGACAGGAAATGCAGCCAAGCTGACATAAATCGCTAATGTACACTACATCACTCTGGCATGCACACATACACAACTGTATGTGTCATGTGTCCACGCCAAGGAACGGACAAGGCCGGTAGGACCAGGCGGGCGGGCGGGCAAGCCGATTTCTCACAGTGCATTATTGATGGTACCGTTGGGTTGTGGCGTTAAAATTGCAGCCCTTACGTCTCTTTGCTCTGCTCAACTTTTGCCCATCAGAAGCCAGGTTATGCCCATTCTATTGGCTCTGTATGTCTCTGCCTCATTTCTTCAGGCAATTTGCTGGCAGTTGGTTTGCTGGTTGGCTGGCTGGATGATATTTTGCTGGGTGGCTGGTTTTTGAGATTGATGGGTTAGCTGGCTGGCCTTCCATACGTTCTGCTTGCCAGCGTGGTCCTGGCAATGCAGCCAATGTTGATGAAATGGACCGATTCGATGATCCTGGCTTTGGTTAAATTCGATGTCGGAGGTGACGTGAGAGTGGATGTGCAACGCATACGTTTACACAAATCTCCTGCCAAAAGACGCCCACATTTAGCTTGCTCCTTCGCCAGATTCTCCCACAATAGAGATGTGTGTGTGGGAATGAGAGTGATAAAAGAGGCACAGCGACCGACCATCTACTCCTCTTCTCGTATCTCAGTTTCGTCTTTTCTCTTCGGCCTGGTTCATTGTCCATGAATTATTGAAATACACTGTAGATATGTGTATCAGAGATGCATTTGCAGAATCAAGCAATTTTAAGCTGCCCATTTTGTGAATTGAGCATTCGCTGCAAGACAGTACAGCTGTGTGCATATGTGCGTGTCTCTGCGTTTCCCAAACCTATAGACATTTTTCATCGGCAAAAGTGCCCCTTAGAAAAGCTTTCCACAAATTCCGTGTGCCAGCTTGTGTGTTTATGTTAGTCTTCACAAAGAGGAAATTTTGACACATTCTCTCCGGTTTGACGATAATCTGAAAGGA